TGGAGACCAAGAAAGAAGAGAGAAAAGTCACAGATTTTCTGTGAAGATCCTCACTTCTGTACTCTTCATCCACGTGGGTTAGAAAACCAGAGCTCTGAGTTTGCAATGTGATATGGCCAATGCAATTTTGGGTTGAAATTGGTGAGGCATCAGGACACAGAGCAGGAAGGCAACAATCCCCATATAAAGTTCCCGTAAGAGGACACTGCAAATACAGGGATGAACCAATCCCTGGCGTAACTCCACTTCACACCAGAGAGGATGCTCCAAGTCAAGCCACAAAAGTGAACTGACTCTTTCCTCACAAGAGGTGAAACTAAAAAGTTTTGCTAAGTAACAACAAAGTGAGAGGAGGGGGAGGAGAGGGAGATGGTAAGTCAAATATTCAAAAGATATAAAAAAAGAAGATGGGAGATACTAAGGGAAAGCTAAATATCAGAAAAAAGCCTTCCCAGCAGGGAGGGCTATTAATGGAAGCCCATTGTTTGGAACATTTAAAGCCAGACTGGTCAGAACATTAGAAAAGTGGGCTCTAAGGAAAAATCCTGCATTGGCAAGAAGATGGATTAGAGAACAGTTGATCTTTCCTGACTTCTGGAGATTTGGATAGCGGTCTTCTTTATGGACTAGCCTGAACCGGAACAGGTTGCCGTAAAGAGTTTTATGGTGCTCTGTTCATTCCTCAGCACAGCAAGACAGATGGCATGGTATATTTCCATATGCGACTGGCAACAATAGCAACGTACTGGGTATGGAGTCCTGCTCTGTACTATCCCAGAGGGAACGGCTACCGTATAGTTGTGTCCGCATGCTACAGGGACACTCTGTGCTACAGACCTCCACTGTCCAAGTCAGAGGTGGGCAACCTCCGGCCCGCGGGACACTCCGGCCCGGCCCCTGAGCTTCTGGCCCGGGAGGCTCGCCCCCGGCCCCTTCCCTGCCGTTCCCCCTCCCCCGCAGCCTCAGCTCACTGCGCCGCTGGGGCAATGCTCTGGGCAGCGGGGCTACAAGCTCCTGGGGCAGCGCAGCTGCAGAGCCCGTCCTGACCCGGTGCTCTGAGCTGCACGGTGGTGTGGCTGGCTCCAGCAGGGCGGCGTGGCTGTAGTGCCGCCAGCCACCGGTGCTCCAGGCAGTGCAGTAAGGGGGAGGGAGGTTGGATAGAGGGCAGGGGAGTTCAGGGCGGGGGTGTGGATGGGGTCAAGGCAGTCATAGGGTGGGGAATGGGGGGGTTGAATGGGGGCAGGGGTCCCGGGGGAGGCAGCCAGGAATGAGAGGAGGGATTTGATGGGGCGGTGGGGGGCAGTCAGGAATGAGAGGAAGGATTTGATGGGGTGGTGGGGGGCAGTCAGGGATGGGGGTTCTGGGGGCGGTCAGGGGATAGGGAGCAGTGGGAGTGGATGGGGCAGGGGTCCCAGGGGGAGGGCCCATCAGGGAACGTGGGGGTTGGATGAGGCAGGAGTCCCAGGGGAGGGTGCATGTCAGGGGGCGAGAAGCGGGGTGGGGGGCATAGGGGCCGGGCCATACCTGGCTATTTGGGGAGGCACAGCCTCCCTTAACCAGCCCTCCATACAATTTCCGAAACCCGATGCGGCCCTCAGGCCAAAAAGTTTGCCTGCCCCTGGTCTAAGGGTATGTCTACACTACCTGCCAGATTGGGAGGTAGTGATCGATCCCCGATCGCTCTGCTGTCGACTCCGGAACTCCACCACGGCGAGAGGCGGAAGTCGACTCACCGCCGTCCTCACGGCCAGGTAAATCGACCTAAGATACACCGACTTCAGCTACGCTATTTGCGTAGCTAAAGTTGCATATCTTAGGTCGACCTCCCCCCCCACCGTGTAGACCTAGCCTAAGTGTATTGTTGTTGTTGATGCTACATGAAGGTGAAAGGGGATCTCAGAGGCTCCAATGTTTTGCTGGAAAATAAAGGATTAGTTGTGCTGTTTGTGGGAGGATTAAGATCTGATCTCAGCTGGAAAGAGATCAGGTCTCAACTATGCACAGAAGTTACAGTTTAAACACAACTTTAAACTGGTGCAACTTCTGTGTTCGGACACGGCTTCAAACTTGCAAAAACAGGACAAGTAGCACCCGCGTCCACCCATTATGAAAGACGTTACGAGTTACAGACGTTGAATGGACCTCCACAGCCATCCCTGCTAAATGGGATTGGAGAAGATGGCACTCCTGAGTATCAACCACTACTACGAGGCCAAGATCATGCCATAACCAGAGAGGCGTTAATTGGCTCTGGCTGGTTAGAATTTAGAGTAATTAGCAGTTTTGTCCATGTGGGATCTCTGCAGGCTTGTCTACAGTTTTGGGTACCGCTTTTAACTATAGTGGTTAAACAAAACAAAAAAGACCCACACGGCACCCCTAACCAAGACAGTTAAACTGGTGCAAAAACTGTTCAGAGCACGCCTCACCTGGCTGCACTGGCTTTCAACTCCTATGAAATAAGAACACTCAAAAACGGGCTCCCCATTTTTGGAAATCCCCGGAATGCAAGGTTCAGATGTTTTGGAACGAACCATAACTCAGAGCTCCCATTCAGAGAACGAAGCTAGCTCTGCTGCACCAGGACGTGCATGACTCATTTCTTGGCTGACCAGCTGTTAACATCTGTCTCTGCTTTGTCCGTCCCATAAGCGGAAGGAATCCACTAACGCCACATCGCCCTTTAGGAGTGGGAGCTTATCGGGTACACAAGCGCTGCAAGAATTCTGGCTTGAAGTTATGTAAACGGCATCAATACCAATTAAGAACATTTCTTATGCGCAGTGTATATTTCAGTGCAGAAGCCAAAGCCGGGTAGTTCTGGCCATGGTTTAGCAGTCCCACCTGTCCGATGCAGAAACTAGTTACACTTACTAGAAGATGTGCTCTGACCAAAGCCATGAGGGAAGTAAACTTAATGGGGACTGGAGATGAAAGTTATTCCGTAAGGAGAACGTGAAATACCTTGTATTATTTTGGTTCTGTTTCTTTCCCCCTTTTCTCTAGGAGTATTTAATTCCACCAAGCAGCAGCTATTTCAGAAGCCAGCCTGTAACTGTGGAACTCCTGTTCAGTCTAGTGGGTCTTGCCAATGAACAGCAGGAAATCAGAATTTGTATATGTCGCATTTTGAAAATAGGGGTGGAGGGAGGGAAGAACAGAATTAGATCCAGCTAGTTAGATTATGGCCTTTGCCCAAAACCCAAGCACAGACATGGATGTGTCCGGTGAACTCTGTTGTTTTAGCAAACAATGAGAACAAAATCTGCCCGTAACAGAACAATGTTTTTTTCCTTTGGACTTAAAGCGTGAACATCCAGTTAACCCAAATATATGCTGAGGGTGACTCACACCACAGTTAACTGGCAGTTTGCTTGCTGAGAAACTCAGACACCTGGCAAACTCTGATTCCCCCCAAGCATGTTTTCCTCCAAAATTCAACAAAAGACGAGACATTGGCAAGAAAAAAATTCCTTCTTACTACAACTTTAAACATGTTAACTAGACATGAGGGCCCCAAAGGAGCCGGAAGCGACACCTGCTGGAGTTCTGTTGATTCTCAATGGACTTCATACGACATTTGCTCGATTCACAGATTAAGAATGATTTTCCATGCCATTAATTCAACCCGGGATCTGGAAAACTATCAAGCCACGCCCTGTCATGGCATTCAGCTGTCATTACTGATCGGGCTAGTCTGTGGATGGTGTGTGAAGTAGACAAGGATCCAGTTTGGTTTTCCATAGCTGGAGTGATGTAGGGGTGGCGGAGTGTAGTACGTGTATGGTGTCAGTGGATAACACTGGTAGTGCCCGAGGAGACCTAATGATCAGATACTGGATATTTATTGCTTTCAACATGGCCGCGTCTACAGGGCCCAACTGCAATCAAGCACAATCCATTGTGCTAGGTACCGTACAACCATCTAGGAGTCCCTGTCTAAACAGAGAAGCCAGAGTAGGAGGGTCGCTGAGGAAGCGAAGTAACTTTCCAGGCTAGAGCTTGGCAGTGGCAGAGTTGGGAAGAAACCAGGTCTCCAAATCCCTGTCCACCAGCCCATGCTGCTGCTCTCAATACTGAGAGGGGCGATCCCATTTTAAGTCCTTTTCCAGGGGTGGCCAACCTGTGGCTCCGGAGCCGCATGCGGCTCTTCAGAGGTTAATATGCGGCTCCTTACCTAGGCACTGATTCCGGGGCTGGAGCTAGAGATGCTAACTTTCCAATGTGCTGGGGGGTGCTCACTGCTCAACCCCCTGCTCTGCCCCAAGCCCTGCCCCACTCCACCCCTTCCCCCAAGGTCCCTTCCCCTGAGCCTGCCATGCCCTCGCTTCTCCCCCTCATAGCCTCCTGCGCACGTGAAACAGCTGATTGAGGTGGGAGGAGGGAGTTGGTGCTGATTGGCGGGGGCTGCCAGCAGGCAGGAGGGGCTGGGGAGCGGATAGGGGGCTGCTGACATATTACTGTGGCTCTTTGGCAACGTCCATTGTAAATTCTGGCTCCTTCTCAGGCTCAGGTGGGCCGCCCCTGTCCTTTCCAAACACAGCCACGCTGTAGAATTTTCCTAGGGTCTAGAAATAAGGGCCTGCCCTTCTCGAGCTCTTATCGCCTTTTCCCTCCTGGCATTTCTGGTGCAGAAGCTTTCATGCGCTCACCCACTCCCTAGTGTCAGAGAGCAGACCTGAGGGAGTCAGACACTCCCAGCATCTCAAGACTTGTCCATGGGAGCTGAGAGCGCCGCTTCCCTGGGGTGAAGTGGCTCAAGATTCGGTCAGTGCTCCCGTTTCTGCAGCATTAACAAGGGAGCGCTCATCAAGAATCCCGGTCAGACAATCCCCCTCCCCAAGGGGAAGGCGGACGCGGCTCTGTGGCACAGCTGGCTCTAAATTCAAATCACCTGCCTTGTGTCATGGCTACCCACTGCAGTCACAATGAGTGGTGTTCATTTGACTTAGGGTTGGCTGTCTGTGCACATCTGCCCACCGCACATTCCCTGGGCTTACCTGGGATTCTTCATTCCTCACGGGGTTTTCTATGGACCTGCTGCCTTCAAGGCTGTCCGTCTGCTTATACTTCCTCATGATCAAACTGTCCACGACCCAGAACATAACAGCCTTGGAGGGGGAAAGGAAAATAAAAAAGTTGTTCAAACAGCCCAGACTTTGGAGGGCCAATCTTCAGTGCAGCCTAACTGCAAGGCGGTAGCAGCAATAGGGGGTGCTACAGCTTTAAACCTTACAATGACCACCGACAGCTCCCGTACAACCTGATCCTACCGAACAATTCACGCCCTCGACCCCCACTGACACGAATGGAGTAGAGGCCACTCTGCAGGATTAGGCCCCAGGTCTGCAAGAGTTTGACCAACTGTGTGTTTTGGGAGCTATTTTCTCTCCTCTGCATTGAAGCCTGGTCGGTTTGTCAGAGCAGGCACTTGCTGGAGGACCCACTGGAAAAGAGATTAAACAGTAGGTCAGGGCTGTAACTGGGTCAGAGTGATTTCCCACCATGCTCTGCAGCTGGAACTGGCTGAAACACGATGCATCCAGAGCCAAGGTTCACCCATTCAGCTTCCCAGAACAGTTGTCAGTGCTTGCACTGGTTTCCCACGTGCTGGGAAAGTTTGCTCCTGAGCCAAGCAGAAGTGGCAGCAGGGACACATTATGGCCATTTGGGGCCCAAGGCAAATCCCGCATGGGGCTCCCACGGCCCCACCTCCCTCAGGTGGCAGCAGGTTTCCAAGTGAAGATGAATGAGGCTTGGAGGTGCTGCCTCATGAGTCGGCAGAGTCACAAGACACACACACACACACACACACACACACACACACACACACACACACACACTGTTTGTGTTTTCAAGCTTTCCCCACCACCTAGGAGACCAAACACAGCTCCTCTAAAAATGAAAGCCAAGTTTCTGAGCTCACCAGGCGGCTGCAGGAGCTGGCATGTTATTTGGCTCAGAGCAGCCAGGACGTGCTTGGCGCTCTCAGTTACTTAACCACGTCGGCATGCACGCCCAGGTGGATTCTAGCCACAGCGATTGTGGTGACATATCTAGGAGATTAAAAAAAAAACCCTGTAGTTTCTGTATGAGAAACCAGTGCCCAACAGAAAGGTACCAGCTCGGCAGCTGTAGGCTTTTCTCCACCTAGTTAGAAACTGCAGGGGACGGCAGCTTTCCCTCCTTACCAGGCGGTCTTCTGAAGGGGGAGAAATATTAGCTGTCTTGAGCTGTACTGACTCATGCATTTTGCAATCCTATTCAGACGAGAGTTGCAATGTCCTGCCTCACTGAATGCGACCCCCTCTTGTGCCAGTCTCACTCAGACCACACTCCTCTCCACTCTGAATTTCCTCTCTGCCGTCCACATCAAATTCAAACAGCTTGTCTCTGCCTGGAAGGGTTCTGTACGGCTCCTCTGTTGCCTTACTCTCTACTGGGAGGCAGCTTGGCCTAGCGATAAAGCACTGACCAGCACTCAGAAGACCTGGGTTCTAATCCCTGCTCTGCCACTAGATGGACTGGTGGGTGACCTTGGGCAAGTCACTTCCCCTCCCTGTGCCCAGTTTCCCCATTTCTAAAAGGTGCGGGTAATGAGACGGACATCCTTGGAGATCTACTGATGATGAATGCTCTAAGAGCTAGGTATTACTGACTGCTTCTAACTGGCTGGCTGCACTTCTCCCAAGCCATCCAGTGAAGTACTTCCTACTTCTGTCTTAACGCCATCTTCCATCACATCCCTTATGTTTGAGATTCTCCATCTTCTTGTGTGCGGTCACCAGAGAACGCACCAATGTGTGGGAGGTCAGGAGGAGCGGAACAGCACCCATTTTAACCACAGGGTCTTAGCAAAGTTGAGACACATCACTAGGAAAAGAACTCTCCAGCGATAAATGGAGTTGTTCCTGGGATTTTTTCCAATTCCCCTAGGAAGACAGTTTCCAGAGAAAAAGGAAAGGGAGGGAAGAAGTGGCGTAGCTGGATAGGACGGATGCATAGTCTACCTTGAACTTCTTGCATCCTGAGTTGCGGTGGGTGGAAAGACGTTCTGAATGGAGCAGGACGCCATCTGCCATAGCATGTCGTGTCAGACTGCAGTGGGACATTCCATTTCACAGTTCAAAAAACATTCTGGTTCCATCAAAAATGGCTTAATCAAAGGTTCAAAGCCTCTGAAGGCAGACACGGAAAGGATTTCCAGAGTGATGGTTTAGAGACGATCAACAGTTTTTGGGACAACAGAACATTTGGCTGGACTTCAAGCAAGTCCTATTTTAAAAGGACCTTCTGTAGCAGGAGGGCTAATTTTATACAAGAACATCAGAACAAAGTTACCCTATATTTATTTCTAAGCATCTGAATTACCACTTCCTCCCTAAGGAGTTTTACATCAGACTGAGTGGAAGTTTCAGCCAAAACCTCAATGGACGTTTTTGTTGATTCTTCCCAGTTTTGAAGGCTGCGAACCGTAGGGAAATCTATTTGGACAAAGAGGTTTGCAGACACAGGGCCCGATACTGACAGCACCAGCCTCTCCCAATGAGCTGGATTCTTGTCTGATTTGGTAGCATTTACACCCATGAATCCCTGGCCTATTTGACTCTGCCTTGTTGACCACAGAGTAGAGGGCATTCACCTTGCAGGACAGGGCCTGTTTTGGAGTTATAATTGGTATTTAACGTGAGTGACATCACTAGAAAACTACCACTCAGCTGTTATCTTTGCCTTTTTGGATCAAATTCTATACACGAGCCAGTTCGGCTTTTCTTTAAGAGCATCATTAAAGAGGTGAATGGAAGGCCCATTGGCTGATAAGGCCGGAGTTCAGAATTAAGTGCTTGTCATCACAGGGTGCCACTAACAGCCGAGTTGCGGACGCCTGGGACGTCAAGATAATTGCAAGGGAAGCCCAGATCCTTCATTCGTCTCTCATCAGGTCCAGTAGAGGAGGAAGCGATTTTTAAGTACAGCAGGACAATCTGTCCCAAATGATCACTTAAGCAACAGACTTTTGTCTGTCTTAATGGATCACGGCGAAAGTCTGGAGGCCATATTTTACTCTTTGATTCACCCATAGAATCCAAGTCACCTCATTGTCCTCACCTTCACCCTATCCTGTCCCAGCCCCACCTCTATCATTTTCATCTTACAGTTTAAGTAGAGTCTTCTAGACAGGGAACCTCCGTTTCAGAAAATGCCATGCACATTGCATTAAGTACTTAAAAAAACCCCAAAGCAGTCACCACCTTTCATCTTGGAAACCCTAAAACCACATCCCCGTGCATTGAATGTGCCGTATTCTAACAAAAATATGCAAAGACAGACAGAATTAATCATTAGCTATGGTAGAGATCTCAGAGTTTTGTGATGTCCAAGAGGCTTAATTACATCACTCCACAACTCAAATTCCTCCAAGTAACAGTGTTGGTACAATTTACTAACTAGGAGACGCTAGTGTCTCAGCAATAGGTGGCTTCTGCATAGACTGCTGAGACAGGCAGGGTGGTCTAGTGGGTAAGGCAACAGCTGGAGAATCCCGAGAGGGAAGTTCTATTCCCAGCTCTGCCAATGACCTATTGTGTCACTTCTCTGCTCTGTCCTATTTCAAGAGAGTAAGGACTGCCTGTACAGCACGTCTCTGTTGGGACACCTAGGCCCCACAAAACCGTAGTGTTTTCAGAGGAGTCTTTGGCTTCACTTACATTGACTGTAAAAGGCACAATGAACATGACCAGGACGAGCTCTAGCTGAGGGTCTGGGATATAATCCAGTAAAATCTCCTGAAGCTGCAAGGGAAACAAAAATTAAGCATGTTGTTAAAATACATCTTGGTTGAGGGCTATTAACCACGAATTGCAGCGACCTTCCCACACTGGCAGATTCGTGGCGGAGGCAGCTGCGGCCTTTTTTACCCTGCCGCGTAAGCTAGAAGAAGACAAGCTATTCCACCCCACCCCAGACGTTTCTGGCAGCCTGAGGTCAGGCAGATGTTTATTCGTTTATTAAAGTGCTGGTCTTCCACACTAACAGTGCATTAAAATAACAGGCAGATTTTCCTTGGATTCTCTCAGCCTGGCTGCAAGACAAGCTTATCGGCCAGCAGCCTTGCATGAGGTGGCCTGGAAGACATCCAGAAGAGTACTGCCAGCCCCCCCCGATTACAGGTTCGCATACCAAGAGTGGAGAAATCTACATTAGCGGTTCAAGTTTAGGAGTCCTGTACAACGAAGGTTCAGAATACTGGTTTCAACAGGAATGAAATGCTGATGTGTCCCAACTTAATGTCTCCCACTTGTTCCAGCTCTCTGGACACACACAGTTGTCGTCTACTGATAGTCTTTGTATCATGGTAGCAGCTAGTGGTCAGAACAGATCAGAGCCCTACTGTGTTAGGTGCTGTACAAAATACAAAACAGCCTCTGCCCTGAAGCAATTACAGTCTGAAACAGAGAAGACAAAAGGAAGTATCATCTCCAATTCAGAGATGATTTATGGAAACAGAGATTAAGTGACTTGCCCAAGGTCATAGAGTATATCCGTGGCAGGGCTGGGAATTGAACCCAGTCTCCAGAGTCCCAGGCTACAAGCTCATCCATCCAAGGACAGAACAACCTATTCAATGTCTCTCTTTATTGTGACACGTTTCCCTGCCACTAACCATTTCCCCAGATGCAGTAACCAATAATGGGTTATTTGAGGGCTCCTCGTGAGTGATGGTCTAATAAAGAATTAGCGCACACAATGCAATGGAAACACCCGCCCTCCCCCTCCAGAGGAAAACATAACCAGTCACTTACCTTTGTCCAGCCAGGGATGAACAGGGCAAGGCTTACCACAGTCTTCTCAAAGACCATTATCAGCAAGTAGAGGATGCACTGGCCAATCCAGGCAGCAGCTTGTGGAGGGTCACCTGGAAAAGGAAGCTAAACCTAGCATATGGAACAGGAGTAGAACACTACCCAGAGAAATATCAGCGTACCCTAATGTAAAACAATATGGACTGACAACGGGAGTTAAGGAGACTAGCACAGGAGAAGGGGGAGGTGTGTGTACAGTGCCTCAATGTACCAGCTTGTACATGTACCTTTGACCCCTCCTAGAAAAGATGCTAATCTGCTTGGGTGTTGCAATGATCCAGATGGAGGACTAGAGGGGAGATAATTCTTCTGACAGCTACTGGAGGTCTTCTTTCATCTCAAGCTGTAGAAGCTTACGGTTTTGGAGCAGAAAGTTGGCGCTTTCTTCAGCCAGGAAATTAAAAATGACTCTGGTCCCTTTTCAGAATGTTTTAGATTGAAAACGGAGCAATATTCACACTCAGTTCAAACAATTCCTTCCAACACGCACTGCTTTGCAGGTCATCAAATTTCATCGGTCTTGCCCCATCTAGCTTAGCCAGATCCTCTGTCTTCTTTAGTTTAAGAGAATCTAAACAACTGTGCCAGTGGCAAGTTTTGCCAGGTCTTCATATCCTTTTCCAGGCTATTGGGAAAAAATTATATATGGGCCCAGTAGCAGATTAACAGGATAAATGCCATGAGTTGTGTTTTTCAGGAGGTCAGACCAGAGCCAGTGGTCCCTTCTGGCCTTAAAATCCTAGTGCTGATCTTGGATACAACGCACTGCCACGCTGACAACAGATCATTTATTCCTATCCAGTGCTGGGATAACGCCATGCCTGAAATCCAGCCCCTTCAGTTGTCAAATATGTGCTCACATGCTACCCCAGGCAGCAAGCTCAGAACACAGCCTCCAACTATAAATTCAAGGGCAACTTTAGGCAGCACCTGGGATTTCCCCCACATCGAATCTGAAAACGCCAGGGGTCTATGGTGATCTACACGGTCACGGCCTCAGTGGTCAGTACCACGCAAAAGGCATCGTTTTCATAACTAGCACTACATCCAAGATAGATTTCACCTTACATGGTGTGGATGTATCAGATTTCTACTAGCTGCTGAGGAGACCGGATGGCTGGGGACGTAATACTTAAGGTCTGAGACACAGGGCCTCCATCATCCCAGGTTTTCATGTAATCCAATCTGAAAATCAATGCTAGTTAAATATGGATGATCGGTACTTAAAGTGAAAATTAAAAGCATATTTATTATTGTTAGCAACTATAATGGAACGATATCTGTTACAGTCAGGAGCGTCAGGCCTCAATAAACATCCTGCCAGCTGTTCGTTATCTTCCTAGGTTCATTACAGTCCGTCGGGTCTGCAGAATTGGGGTTGGCAATATATAGCTCTCTTGAGACGCATGCCACATTTCCTCCTGACACTCAAATGGTAAGAGAGCCTCTGGTGGCATCTCTGTTTCCAGTACAGACCAGAGCCCAGAACCGCAGCTGCGCAGGAGAGTCGGAGCAAAGCTCCTCTGAAGCTGGAAGGTGATTCGAGGTTGGATCAGTTATTTGATCCAAATGGGTCAGGAGGTCTCTTGGCCTTCCCTCCTCATCACAGCCCCCAGCCCTTTAGGGAAACCCATGCTCAGTTCACCCCCATCCCTGGAGACGTTTTTACATTCTGGACATGACCGTGACAGCAGAGAACTCTCCTGGAGTGCTGCTTGGAGTTGAAGCATACAAGGGAAGCCATCTAGATCTCATTCTCCAGCAGACTAGTAGCAAAAGCCACGTCCAGCCTGCCAGCGACAGCACATGCAACCTATTAGTAAGAGGACAGGGCCAGCTCTTATTCCTATCGTGAAGGGCGATTCTGTAAACATGAGGCAGGTCAGACAATACCAGGGCTGTATCGGCTGGGGACGAACTAAGGCCTTTGTCAAGCCGACACCTTGCAGGAGCAGTAAAAGAGAAGCACTGAAATGTTTGATCAACGTTTGTGATGCCTCCCAGGCTGAGGAAACATCTGAGAGCCAAGGGCTACTAAGCCTTCTACACACTTTTGGGTGATCTATAGCACCCGGAGCTAAAGGCAGCCAGCAACAAAAACACACTGAAACGTTTGACAGACTGATACAAACCAGCACGCCTGTGGGTTCTGGTGTTATTACAATGAACTGTGATCAAGCCAGCACAGGAATTCCGGCTGGCTAAGAACCTGGAGCGGCAAAGGCCTCATCTCATTAATTCCCTTCGCTGTAACTTCTGGAAGGAAGGGAGAAGGGGAAAAGCCAAGAATGGATGGTTGCAGATGGGAACTGAGCAAGGGAGGCTGCTGAAATGGGAAAGGGTGGGTGAGTCATGGCAACAGGGACCAGAAAGAGGGCAAGGGGAGGAAGACGCAAAGATAGCAGGGCAGGGAAGAAGAGAGGAGAACAGAAAAGGCAAGAGGCTTGGAAGGAAAAAAGGCCAAGAGGAAGAGAAGTGTGGGAGGAGTAAAAGGGACCCAAGCCAGCCAGCATGGACGTTCGCTTACAGCAGCTGAAGTCTTGAACAGTGTGTGCATGAGCTAGTTGGGGAGAAGCTGCCTGGTGGTAGTTGGGGGCTGGGAGACGCTGCTCCCCTTGCTGGCTTGGGCAGAGGGTTTCAGTGTTTTAAGAGCAGATCCAATGGACTCATCAGAAGCAAGGGGCTGGGTTTTGCCCATTCCTTGACTTGGGGTGGGTTGGGTTGGGTTGGGTTTTTTTGCTATGTACCGACATCTGAGACGTTCCCACACAATTCCTTGCACCTGAAGCCTTGGCAGATAATGCTATTCTAGTCCAAAGCCCAAGCATAGACAAAAGAAATCCATCCCTTCCCTTCCGCCTTTGAACTTGGCTTTCCCTTTTCTTCGGGGCACTCTCAGCTGGGGTGCACTGACTCCAGAATTGAGGCTGGATCGTCAAACCACAGCAGCCTTCACAAACCCCCAGCTGCCTGCTCCACAGCTGATACGGCACTTGGTTGCACCTGCAACCACTCAGCAATGCTCATCTGGAGAGAAGATGCTTCATCCTGTGCATAGCTACGACTTCTACAGGCTACCTGTGTGAGGCTGGCAGACCGGGTGCCAGCTCTTGCAAAGGCTTTAGGCCTCAGCTGAGCACTGACAGTTTCATTGCTGGAAAGTAGTCCAGCCCACCGGTGCATCAGTATGGTTAAGATGGGTATTGGACTTATAATGGTGTGCTTAGACTTTATGAAATGCTTGTGTGTGGCTACATGTATTAATCCTACTTAGAATGTCAATATCCTAGGGTATATACGGGAATACTTCAGTGTTTGCTATATAGCTGTAACAGGTTTGTTCTGAACTATGTAACTCACCAAAGACAGAAAATGTTTACCCAGTGCAAAGTGCTAAATCCCTGTGAGGGGTATTACCTCTGGACCATCTGGAAGGGCTATCAGAACTAAATGGGCCATTGTGGGACATCACAAGGCAAAGGACTTGATTAATTGTCCCCGCGGACCCATGAAGAGGCTACCTGCAAAAAGGCTCGTCCCACCAGCTTGAATTGTGGAAGAAGGAAATAAAAATAACTGACAAGGAATTTTTTCAGCTCTTGGGCTGTTTGGACTCTGAGGGCTCAACCTATGAAAGAAACAGCAGCGGAGATCCCCAGGGTCAACCTGGGTGAGCCCAAAAAGATACTCAGAGCTGACAGATTGCTACAACTCTGTCATCGTTTGGAACCATAAACTGTAACTCATTTGTGACTGTAGGTTTGCCAGCTTTAACCTGTAAATAACTTGCTCATTTCTTTTTCCTAGTTAATAAATCCTTAGTTAGTTTACTAAAGGATTGACTACAAACATTATCTTTGGCATAAGCCTTAAGGTACAACTGACCTGGGGTTAAGTGACTGGTTTCTTGGGACTGGAAGCAACCCAAATATTTTATAGAATCCTAGGACTCGAAGGGACCTCGAGAGGTCGTCTAGTCCAGTCCCCTGCACTCATGGCAGTATTATGTAATCAGACCATTCCTGACAGGTGTTTGTCTAACCTGTTCCTAAAATCCTCCAATGACTGAAATTCCACAACCTCCCCAGGCAATTTGTTCCAGTGCTTAACCACCGTGACAGTTAGGCAGTTTCTTAATGTCCAACCTAAACCTCCCTTGGTGCAATTGAAGCCCATTGCTTCTTGTCCTATTCTAGGAAGTTAAGGAGAATAATTTTCCCTCCTCCTCCTTGTAACAATCTTCAATGTAATTGAAAACTGTTATCCTGTCCCCCCTTGGTCTTCTCTTCTCTTGACTAAACAAACCCAATTTTTTCCATCTCTCCTCATCGCTCATGTTTTCCAGACCTTGAAGTCATTTTGTGATCTTTGATGCATAGCAAACAACTATCACTAAGTCCAGCTTGCCTATGTGGCAATGCCCAAGGGGACTGCCGGTGACTCCATGGTAAGGCTCAGAGTGCTTCAGGAGTTCTCATTTGTTACTGGGTTGGTGTAATCTAATTGTAGAACACACCACCAGTTTGTCTGCCCTGAGGCTGGCCTTCACAGTCGTGAACTAGTCCAGACAGCGTGACAGTCTGCTCACTCTTTCCCTACTGTCCAGCAGGAATCTGACAGGGTCAGTACAATACCACTGATTGTTATCTTACCACCAGTGACCGTCGTATTTTTAAATGTAGCAGGTGCCAGACAGCTTCACAATGTACAACATTTCATCTTTACTACCAAGGACAGGCAAGGAAGTGTTATTTACTCCTTCTTGTAACACAAGAACTAGGGGGGTGGGGAAGGGTCACCAAATGAAATTAATAGGCAGCAGGTTTAAAAAAACAAACAAACAAAAGGAAGTATTTCTTCACACAACGCACAGTCAACCTGTGGAACTCCTTGCCAGAGGATGTTGTAAAGGACAAGACTATAAATGGGTTTAAAAAAAGAACTAGACAAGTTCGTGGAGGATAGGTCCATCAATAGCTATTAGCCAGGATGAGCAGAGATGGTATCCCTAGCCTCTGTTTGCAAGAAGCTGGAAATGGGCGACAGGGGATGG